TATGACAGGATGGACCTGTCCGTCTACTCATCTGAGGATGGTGCATGGAGGAAGCTAATCATTTGTGAGGGCCCCAAGACCAATTCCCTCATCAGGTTCAATAATATGCACTCTATTTCTTGGTTCACTTCAACCACAAGATCGTGAACCACGAGATAGTGAAGTACGACTTGGCCACACAACAAGTATCTACGATTCACCTACCATCTAAATTCCGCCGTCTGAAACGCAGCATTGTGCTCATGACTGATGATGATGGTGGACTAGGATTTGTTTCCAGCGTGAAGTACAAACTAAGCCTATGGTCGAGGGTGGCTGGTCCAGATGGAGATGTAGATTTTGTTGCAAGCAGAGTCATTGATATTCGGAAGGTGCTTCCTTCCGGTGCACTCATCAAGAACTCACCTCAGGTGAATGGTTTCGTGGGTGGTGGTGCCAGACGGGTCCTGTTCATAAGGACGTCCGATGGTCTATACAGCATAGAGATAAATTCTAGCCAGGTCAAGAAGGTAGCCAACTGCTGTGGCAACGGCAACGTTGTTCCTTACATAAGCTTCTGCACTCCAAACTCCAGGGTTCAGGTACAGGAGTACAACTTTGCTTGTTTACGATTTTTCTATACCTTAATTTAGAAACCATGTAGTATATATATGCTCCATATACACTTAGAACATGGGGGTATATGGGCTCCTACCTATTCTTTATGACAAGTTGTCTGAGGTAGGAAAAGGTACTGATGGGCAGGATGTGATGGAACCAAAATAATTAATTACCTATAGTAGCTTCTACACTCTGGAAAACTAATCTCTTCATGCTTAAGCATAGCTGATCTCATATGCCTGACAATGCCACTACTTAATTATAGCAGCATAGAAACAAAAATGAAGATATCAGTGCTAGACAGAGATGTTTCTAGTTTCTATGGAGGTCTGAATCTGTAGTTTGTTAGTCTGTTTTGCTTTTAAGTATGGTCGTTATTACCTGCTGGTTCTGTGTGTAATAAGTAAGCTAGGGTTGTTTTGTTAACTGCTGAGTAACAAATGTTCATGCAAACATTGATTTCTCAATTAGCTGATGCTCTTTTTAAAAAATGCCTATGTTTCTGCAGCACTAGGACGTGCCTCCAGCGGTTAGAGACCTATGGGTGATTCTGCAAGTACATCGAAGACACAAGGCACAATAAGGTCTTCAAAATCAAAATCAGATTTTGAAGTGAATATGCTTCCACTCGTCTGAGCATATGTCATTTTACTAAAAATGAGCATACAGAACTGAACTGAAATGCTGTAGTTTTCGTATGTGTCATTTTACTGCTGATATACTACTATAGTTTGTTTAAGTTCTGTGGCTGAAAATGATTGTGTTACTTGTAAACATATTTATTGAATCAATATAATACTGCATTGGGAATTTTTAAAATTCTCTTGTTCTTTTACCATGGCAAATTTGTATTACCATAGTGGAATGAAAGTGCGTAGAAATACGGTTGTCGCCAGCTTCAATTTATGTGTCATTTGACTTGTGAGTATATGACCCCTTAGGTTTGCTCCTTGATGACTTCCCGAAGAGACTGCCAATTTCTTTGTCCACTATTCAGAAGCTGATGTTGTACTCTACTTCATGTCTTTTGGTCCCATGCATGATCCCTGAGTATGGTTGGGAGAATATCCAAAAGTCACATGCAACCTACATTTGACCCACAAAGTAATTTTCTGCTCGCCGCGAATGAAAGAGGTGGTTTTGTATTCACCGCAAAATAGAGGACTCCAAACTCAAGCTGCGGTTAAGGGAGGGTAGTCTCTAATTGTCAATGAAGATTCCATACAAATTACAAAGTAGGGACAAAAGCTCGAGACACTAGTTCTAGTTGAAGCCCTCTTAAGCTAGAGAACATCTTAGGAGAAGAAATATATTCTGGTTGGCATAGCCGCTTTAAGTTGGGCAATTTTTGGAGATGTCGTAATGATCTAATCTTTGAAAATTGTAATTATATATCTTTTATGTAGGCTACTTTCAGGGGAACATATTGGCTGAGGTTTTGGGCACTACTGCTGAAGTGTGATGATGAAACAAAGGAGTCTTTCTGGTTAGCGAGTAGAAAATTAGAGACCACTGCATTGCAGTTATTTGCTTTCCGGCCATGGATGGAAATTAAATAATAGACTCTATCAAGCATTATTTTTCTTTTCTTGTTTCCTGACTTATCTTCAGTAATGTCGCTAAAACTACGTTATAATCTAAACGCTGTGTGCAGAAAAGCAGAAGTAGGACGTCTGTTCCATTTTCTTAAAAAAAAGAAGAGGTTTTGTAAGCACCTCATTAGGCGCTCAAGTTCCCATCCTGTAGAGAACATGATGATATAGTATAAGTATAAAAAATTCGACAAAAATATGGATGGGTGAAGTATGGGAACGATCTACCATAAACCATCATGATGAATTTGTGCACAATTGGAATTTGGAAATTTATGGAAATGGGAAATAAACAAAAAAGTGAAACATGTGATGGATATATAGTTAGGGACATAGCTGTTTACATAAATACTTACAATTATCAACTATTGATTGTTTTATTTTTTTCAATCCTTACACAACTTCTTTTTATTTGTTCTGTACAAAATTTCCAATGATTATATACTCATTCATTTCCAAATTCTAAGTCGTTCTGACTTTCTTAGGTACATATATTTTGTTATGCACCTAGGTATATATTATGTCTAGGTATATAGTAAAACTATGTATCTAGAAAAGGCAAAACGACTTACAATTTGAAGAGGAGGGAGTACGTTTTAGGTACCTAGCCATTTCGTTACCTAGGTGTCCCAATGGTTTACTAGAAGTTTAGTAGAAAAAAAAAGTTAGAGAAAAGTGGAAGAATGAATAGAAAAAAGGACTTAGTGGTTGGAAAACAAAGCATCTATATGTTGGGGAAAGACTAGTGCTGATTAACTCAATTTTCTCAAGCCATCCTATGTTTATGCTACATTTATTCGAAATTTCTAGAGGTGTTCTGAAGAAATAATAGAGCATTATTGATCATGATTTTTATTGGCAAACGCTCAATATGACATGAATAGAATATTGAGATGGCCGTTGCTATATATGTCAGACTAGAGAAAAACGGGTTTAGGTATTATAAACCATGGTATACAAAACAAATGTTTGCTGAGTAAGTGGCTCTTTAAATTAAGCATTGAGCATGGGGTTTGGCAATAGTTATTAAGAAAGAAATATATGAAAAATAGGATGTTATCACATTTCTGGATGAGCCTCATGATCGAGTGTAAAAGAAAACTTCTTGAGTTTGGATACTTTTAGATTACGGACAGTAACCAAACCAGGGGGAAGACACCTGGTTAGGAAACCAGCGGTTGACAACCCAATACCCAACATTTTTTAACATAGTTAGCAGGAAACAAGCAAATGTTGTGGATATATTAATTAAGCGCTTGTGGTGGGGGCTTGTCAAAAATTGTACTAGCAAATAGGATTGATTCCTCTGAGGGGGAACGAAACCGGATACTCTATCCATCATCTAAAAAAATTCAACATGATGACTCACCACTAGGGAACGTGAGCTTGTTAGATTCAAAAGTAGAGAAGCCAGAAAATGGTTAATTTGTTCTCAGGACAAACCGATGAAGAGATTGATATAAAGCAAAGATCACATTGGGTTCAAATTAAGTTGCTGTAGAGAAGCAAAATCAAAGTAATTGACAAAGATGCATGTTTAACACAGACTGGTTTTACTTCAGTTTCTATCCACCGATCACATGATTTGCTGACAAATTAAAGAAAAGCAAAATGGTGGCAAAGTAGTATTGGCTGAACAATAATGCGTCTGCGACCAGTTTGCAAACCATGTGATCCAGAAAACGCATCGGTTGTCTGCCATCGAAGCATGTTCTGTTCATCGATAGGTCCTTTAGTTTCTGCTGCTGCCTGCTTTCGTTGTCATTCTGCTTCTGCATTCAGACAATCAGACTTGAAGAGAACAAAACAACCGTATGCGTGAGTCTCTCAGTTTGAACCTAGCCCGTCCGAATCAGAACCTCTGGACCCACCTGGCAGCGACACCATCGATCGGGAGTCCAGCACCAGGGCGGCAGGGAGATCGTGCATTCGTCTGAACCACAAGCAGTTGTACGTCTATTATATATATATATATATATATATATATATATATATATATATATATATATATATATATATATAACTAGGGTTTGATCCAATTCCTCTATTCACAAATAAGGTCTCCTCGCTCCTCACATCCGCCGAACCCAGTGCCGGCCCTAAGGGTGGGCCAGGAGGTGCGACGGCCGAGGGCCCTCGCGGGATGGGGGCCCAAGCCCAAGTATATAATACTCTATACCCTTTAGCTATAGTCCATTAGAATTAATGAGAAGATGCAGCGGCCCATCAGCAAAAGGAGTCGTCGGCCTTTTTCTTTCCAGGAGGCAAGGAGCCGAGCCGCCAACACCCACACACGCGCACATAGCGATCTTGAGTCGCGACTTCCGGACTTCTGGACTTCTGGCGAGACGCGAGACTACGAGAGACGCAGCGCCGATCACCAGTTCACCGCACGATCACCAGCGCAGATCACCGAGACACCGACACCCGAGTTCCAGTCTTCCAGAAGCCAGACGACGGCGTTCCAGATGACGACGGCGACCAGGCAGCTGAGGCAGGGCTCGACGAAGACGACGACATCTGATCTTGATTATTGCCTTCTGCCCTTTTTGTGATTTGTGAATGTTGGTTCTGAATAAGTTTATGTCCAAATTGTCTAGGCCCTAGGTTTTTTTTTCCTTGTTCAATTTTTGTCTAGTACTTTGTACTCATATAGTCATGTTTTTCTTATAATTTAGGTCAGGTGTTAGAATTTTAGAATATTATCTAAGAAACATTTATCGAGAGGGGCCATCGTGACGAGTTCGTCAGAGGGCCCTCAAAATCATAGGACCGGCACTGGCCGAACCCTCGGCAACGGAGGTAGGCATGCCGCCTCTGCCACCGGAGCTGATGGAGGAGCTCGTGGAAGAGGTCCTCCTCCGCTTCCCACCGGACGACCCCGCAAGCCTCCTCCGCGCCGCCCTCGTCTGCAAGCTCTGGTGCCGCCTCTTGTCCGGCCCCGTGTTCCGCCGCAGGTTCCGTGAGTTCCACCGCAGCGCGGCCCCCGTACTCGGCGTGATCTACACCGGGGACTGCAAGCTCGGACACGACGACGACGCGCCTAGGGACGCCAACCCTTCCCTCAAGCCAGTACGACCTCCTCCCGCCTCATGCACGCTCCCGACGGAACGGCCTGGCTCACCAGCGACGCCCGCCATGGCCGCGTCCTGCTTTACCGGTGCTACACTTGGCATACGATTGGCTTCTCCGTCTGGGACCCTGTCACGGACCAGCAGCGAAACCTGCCGGAGCTGCCGTACACCAGGTGGCACAACTACTCTGCGACCGTGGTCTGTGCCGCCACCGCTGGTGGCAACTGCGACCACCTCGACTGCCACCGGGGACCTTTCCTGGTTGTTGTCATGGACATCCAGACCTGCGTCGTGCACTTGTCCGTCTACTCATCTGAAGCTGGTGCGTGGAGCCACCTCCCTGATTTTGAGCGCCCACTCCCTAGAAGACTCGGCTGGTTCCCGCGTGCGCCCAGTGTCCTCGTGGGCACCGCACTCTACTTATATTGGATAAGTTAAACGATGAGATCGTGAAGTACGACTTGGCCACACAGGAAGTATCTGCGATTCCCCTGCCATCTAAAATCCGTCATCTGAAACGAAGCATTGTGCTGACTGGTGATGATGGTGGGATAGGATTTGTTGTCGAGAAAAATGTCAGCAGCCTGCCTCTGCCTACTGCAAGCGAAGGGAACACGCCTGGGAAAGAAGCCGTCTCCTCGACCGCTACTGAAGATGATGGCGTTCCTGCCTCCCGGCCCAAAAGGCTCCGCCGGCGGCCGAGTACGAGAGTTTTTGGCCCAATGTGGCAAGTCTGAGTCTATTGTATAAGTAAGAAGGGAGGAAGAGTGGAGACAACCATGTAAGATTGAAATCGTGAACTAAATTCTAAGTAATCCGGCCATCGTGCCGTGTCCTACCCTCTCTTTGTCCCCCTCCTTCTTCCTCCCCAAGTTCTTCCTCCTTACAAAAAAGTACAAACTAAAGTTGTAGAGGGTGGATGGTCCAGATGAAGATGCTGGTTTTCTTCTACGCGGAGTCATTGATATTCGGAAGGTGCTCCCTTCCCGGTGCACTCATCAAGAAAGAAGCCTCAGGTTTCACCGATGTTGGTGCCAGCCGAGTCCAGTTCATAAGGACGTCCGAAGGGTTATACAGCGTAGCGATAAATCCTAGCCAAGTCAGGAAGGTAGCCAACTGCTGTGGCGATGACAATGTTGTTCCTTACATAAGCTGCTGCACTCCAACCTCTAGGGTCCTGGTCCTGGTCCAGGTTGGTTGTTTATGATTTTTCTGTACATTTAGAACAAGTAGTGTATATGTTCCATATACACTGAGAGCATGGGGTATATGGGATCCTACCTATTCTTTATGAACCATTGTTGAAATTAAAAAGACGGGGTTGCTGACAAGTTATCTAAATCTTGGCAAAACTAGGAAGGTATTGATGAACAGGATGTGATCGAACCAAAATAATTAATTAATTACCTACAGTAGGTTCTACATTCTGGAGAATTAATCTCTTCATCTTTACGCATAGCTGATCTCATATGCTGAGAATATAATGCCACTTAATAGCAGCATAGAAACGTGAATGAAGATATCTGTACAAAACAGAGATGCTTCAAGTTTCTAGGGAGGTTTGAATCTCTCGTATGTTTGTAGTTTTGTTTTCAGGGGTATGGCCCTTACCAGCTGGTTCTGTGTGTAATAAGTTATATAGGGTTGTTTGGTTAACTGCTGAGTAACAAATGTTCAAGCAAACATTAATTTCTCAATTAGCTAGCTGATGTAGGATGTGCCTCCAAGGGTGAGACCTGGGGCTCATTCTGCAATTGCATCGAAGACTCAAGTTGTGGGCACAAGGTCTTCAAAATCGAAATCAGATATTGGAGTGAATCCATGTTTGAGATTACTGGTGCTTAAGAAAATGAGCATACGAAACTAAAATGGTGTAATTTTCATGTGTCGTTTTATTGCTGATATACTCTGATACGTTGGTCAAGTTCTATGGCTGAAAATGATTGTATTACTGCCACATTTATTTACTGAATCTACTGCATTGTGGATTTTTTATATTTTCCTTGTTCTTTTACCATGGCACATTATTTGTATTACCATAGTGGAAGGAAAGTGCATAGAAATATGGTTGTCACCAGCTCCAGTTATGTGTCTATGACTTATGACTATATGACCCCTTAGGTTTAAATTTGCTCCTAGATGGCTTCCTGAAGAGGCTTCCAATTTCTTAGTCCACTCTTCAGAAGCTGATGCTGTACTCTACTTCATGTCTTTTAGTCCCATGCATATGCATGGTCGGGAGAATATCTAAAATTCACATACCACTTGCTCTCCAGAAGCTGAGGCTGAGCTCCTCGCGGTGTACTGCATGCTCGCCCATGCCACTCGTCGGAGCACCCACCTGCCCGCACCGTTCGTTGTAGCGCCAGCCCGCACCACTCCGCTTGCTGAGGAGCTTGGCTGTCACGAGCTCAATGGCCGCCGTGAGTTCCAGCGTTGCCGCCCGCCAGTGGGCAGAGCAGGGTAGTGCCGACAGCGAGATCAGGCTCGCCGTGGAGAAGAGGACCAGCCGATCTGGCGAGCTCGCAGGCCGTGGGACAAAGAGGCGCCCGTGATGGTGCTCAACACCGCAAACAGGGGGCGCCCTAGTCCTCTCGATTTGGAAGCATGGGTCTGCCCTGAATAAACACGGAATATTCTCTTACTAGGATCATCCCAATTCTAATATCGGTCAAGTCAAACACTTTTGGAAAGGGAATCACCCCATCCCACACTATTAGAAATTAAATTTTAGGAGACAGGCCGTTTTATTAATGGAGGCGACCATCAAATTCAACCCTCTCCTAAAATACTTGAGGATTTTCAGAGACAGTCATTTTATTTATTGAGACGGTGAAAAGATGTTCGTCTGTTAAAATAGATTTAAAGATGTACTCAAAATTAGCCAATCTCCCAAAATCCATTAACAGAGGTGGGCTTCTTCTGAAAATTTATGCTATTTTCGTAGACGGGCCTCTTCTTTTGAATGGACGAAGACAGGCCAGCTTGTATCAGGAAAATGGCTCGAGGCCCAAAGAGGCCCTGAAAGCGTGTTCCTATGTTAACTGTATATACATAACTCTCTTGTCTCTCAGCTGGTGGCGACACCTTTGTCCTCTCCCTCTGCTCTCTCGGCATGCGCCCCGACGGCGGGTGCCAGGCGAGGCCAAGCAAGGGTTGCGCACCACAATGGCAGGGGCCGCACACCCATCAACGGTCGCCCCGGCGACAAAGGCCACGCACCAGAGGCGGCGTTCGGGCACCCGGCGGCTTGCGCAAGCACATCGAGGAGGAGGTGTAGGCACGGTGAGGAGGGCAGCTTTCGTAGGCACGACGGCTGTGGCTCGCGGATCTGCGGCGATTGGGCCTCACTGCGGTCGTAGGGGGTTGTGGGGGCTCCGATACGTCGAGGAGCCGTGACGGCGCCTTGACTCGGTGATCGGCGGTGGCTGCGTGTTGATGAGCTTGTCGACTGATTTTTTTTCTTCTTTTTTTAATCTATTTTCAGAGGTGGGCACTTGACCGCCGATTAATGCAAGCGTTGTTCTGGAGGACTCCCTGCCCAAATCCAAAGATCCAAGTTGACTGCCTGCAAAAACCTGTTCAGTAGTAGTGCCATCCCCTTGGTCCGCAGAACCAAACACACACAATAAGCGACCGGGTGGCTCGATGACTATGGTATGCTGACTGGTGTTGAGAGCTGTGTGGGCAGTGTAGCGGTCTTGAACTCGAGAAAGAGTCCCCCGAGTGCTGGGCATGTCGTCAATTCCATGGTTACCACTAGGCCCACTACGTACCATTAGTGGCAGGGCAAGGGTCAGAGACGTGGCTGTCGCTTGAGGCGCCTCCATTCGTCTCTTGCCAAAGCCAGTGACGCCTGTGCCAGGGCGTTGGCCCTGGCCGGTGGGGCAGCTATCGGCTATCGCTTGGGGTGGAGAGCGCTTGTGGTGCCCGGCTCCATCCCTTTTTCCAAAGATAGCCAATTTTGAATTATGAAATTTTAGTGGTGTATGGCATTGCAAGGAGAGGGGAGTTCTTATAATATAGATAAAAGAGGAAAGTCCAAAGGAAAATCTTGTGCTCCTGTTTCAATTCGATTTGCAGTTCTTTTTCGACTTGATTTAGAGTTTTACTAATTGTCCTTCCTTCCCTTGTTTGCCTTATTACGTCGGATGAAGATAAAATTCATATAAAAATTGTAGTTCTTGATGAGATCTACAACTTTGTGGTTTTTAGTTTTTTCATTCGATGAGGTTAAGATGCTCAAAAAATTAATATAAAATTTCAGGAGCATAATAACCGTGTACAAGTGCTTCTCGCATTAGAAAAATAATATTGTTTTTGTATGGTGTCAAATGAAGATACTTTTTACTTGAAAGTTATAGGTCTCAATGGGATCTACAACTTTGTAGTTTTGAGTTTTTACATTTTATATAGTTAAAATGCACAAAAAAATAATATCAAATTTCAGCAGCATAATAATCGCGTACTAGCACTTGTCGCATTAAAAAATAATATCGTTTTTGTATGGTGTCAAATGAAGATATACTTTATATCAAAGTTGTAGCTCTTTGTGAGATCTACAACTTTATAGATTTCAGTTTTCATATTTAACGTCGTTAACATACTCTAGAAACTAATATAATGTTTTAGCAGCATATTATGCTACTGAAATTTTATATTATTTTTTTAGCATCTTAACGACTCTAAATGTGAAAACTTAAAACTATAAACTTGTAGATCTCACTAAGGTATACAACTTTGATATAAGATGTATCTTCATTTGACAAAATATAAAAATGATATTATTTTTCTAATGCGACAAGTGCTAGTACGTTATTATTATGTTACTGAAATTTTATATTATTTTTTTATGCATTTTAACGATCTCAAATGTAAAAACTCAAAACTACAAAATTATAGATCTCATTGAGTGCTACAACTTTTATGTAAAAAGTATCTTCATTTGTGAAAGTGCAATCAAACCTTAATTGTGGTTTTTTGTGATAATGACCACGTAATTAGAGAACTAATGAGATTTATCGAGATGACAAGCAAGGAAGTTATATTCGAGTATGCTACACGAATCGGAAAAGGCCCTAATTCTAAATGTATATGGCTTCAAACTCGAAGGATGTTTAAATTCTTTTATATCTTGAATTTGAGTATATGAAAAGTCGTACTATAAAGGGGGACATAATGCTTAAGCTAACATTTTCTATCAAGTGCTCAAACAACCACAAACATTCTCATATTCACAGCCAAGACAGTCTACACTTCACTATTATCCCTTGCTGTCTTGCGGTGTGCGAGCTCCGACTCGCCCGACCCCTTGGGTGTGATCTCCGGTTCGCCCAACCCCTTGGGCGCGAGCTCCGATTCGCCCGACCCTTTGGTCGCGGGCTTCGATTCGCCCGACCCTAAGGTCGTGGGCTCCGGTTCACCTGACCCTTTGGTCGTGGGCTCCGTCTCGACCGACCCCCAAGGTCGCGGGCTCCGGCTGGCCCGACACTTTGGTCGCGGGCTCCGTCTCGCCTGACCCCAAGGTCGCGGGCTCCAGCTCGCCCGATCCTTTGGTCACGGTCTCATCTTGCCCGACCTCTTGGATGTAGTGTCCGTTGAGGGCTGAAGGTACATATACCTTTCCCTTTTCCCTCAACAGCTATCTGTGATTTAAGTGACCGTTGGGGTCTGGGGGTATATATACCTTTCTCCTTCCTTCTCAACGAAAAGTAACAAACCAACCTACTCTCTTCTT